ATGGCTTCTGCTCTTCTGTATTTTGAAGATCTGCTTCAGAGTTTCGGGCAAACAGGAATCTCTTGATTTTGAAATGCTGCTCTCCTCCTAGCTGCTCAGTGCTGCCTGAGCTGAGCACTACTGATAGGCAACTGGGGAGAGAAGCAAGCTGACAGCAGTAACAGGTCATTATGAAAATGGAAGGAGGGAGAATATGCACAGGCCTTCCATGTAGCTGAAAAATAATTGGGTGATATGGTACTTCTGCTTATGTTTGTCATCTGGGATGGTAAGGTACCTCTTTACATCAGGTGATGAAGATCTGGTTCAAGGCACTCAGAAGTCAGTGGGAGTGTGTCATAGACTCAGTGAAATGGTGTGTTGGAAGGGCCTGCACAGGAGCCTCTGGTCTTGCTTTTGTGCATGGAGTCAGACAGGGCATGCTCCGACCCTGAGGTCTGCAGGGTAATGACACATAAGGGGCTACCTGTTCTCCTATGGCTTCTGGGAAACATGCAGTAGGTAAAACCTGGCAGTTGAATGCATCCTAACACACTGCCCTACAGCCTGGTAAGGACGAGCCTGAAGGAGAGAATGGTCCCCATCATGAAGAAGGAATTTCACTATCTTTCTCCTTGTCTTCTCTCTGGAGGAAAGCAACAGAAGATGCCTCAGTGCTTTTCCAGGGAACATAGCTCTTCGAATTGCTATAGAAACACCCGTAAGAAGCAGGTATGGAAGTCTTCTAAAGTTTCATAGAGTCCAGACATGATGGTGTTTATTCTTCAGTGCCATCTACTGACAATTTCTTTCTTACTGATTTACTTTCATTGACATTGCTTATTTTAAGTGTCCTAAGTAACATCTGTTAGATTAGTTGGAGGGACCTGCAATTTTGGAGCTGAAGGATTAGGAGTTAGTATTTTATTGGGACAGCTGGCAGCTTGTAGTATTCCTTGAGCACCTCATTCCTCTCTGCAGACCGGGATACTCTGCATGTGTTTTCAGTTCTCTCTTCAACTTCTCTTTTTCCTTCCACCCATCGCCAGGCTTCCTTCCATCTGCTCTTCCTCCCCTGCCTGATCCTTCCATCTAGGTGGCAATTTCTGGCCTCCCTAAGCTCACTTTTCTGACTTCAAAGGGTAGTGCCAGTTGTGCTACCTCCTTGTACAGGTTGCATCCCTGAGTTTATGGTTTAGCTGAGATCTTATTTCCCCCTCTCTTTTCTGTTCTTCCTCTTCATTCAAGAGCTTTTTCAGCAACTTTTGTGCAGTAACCTTGAAAATATTTAATGATAGCTGGTTTCACCATATTACCTGTTCTAAAGGTATTTTATTTTAGTTATGTGGTACTTGAATTTGCATTATTATTACAGTTTTTCATTTCTATCAGTAAGATTTCCTCCCCAGTAGTCCAGTGCATTTTGCAAAGATAAAAATAAATTAAAGGTGAAGAGTTATTGCCAAGGACAAGAGCTTACAAAGTTTATCCTACAAGGTAAAGAAAATGCCAGGTACTAAACTCATTATAAGCAACTGAAAAAATGGGACAAGAGCCTTGCTTCCTATACACTTAGTTTTTGGCTTGGTTTCACCTCTGCCAGCTAGCCAAAAGAATGAGGAAAATAGTAGTAAAGTCACCTAGTGTACTGCACCAATTTGATAGAGGCTTCTTTGACCATACCTTAGATAGCAGAGTGTAATGGCCAGTAAAACCCAGGCACTCAGTTGCCACTCAATTTCCGGCAGAAAATATCAAGCAGTAGAAGCATAGACATTTGTCCAGAACATACTTATATTGTGGAACTCCTTCGCAGAGGATTTTGCTGAGGTCAAAACTCTAAGTAGGTTTAAAAAGGATTAGGTAGATTCATGGTAGGCAGGTGTGATGATTGCTATTAAGCATGACAGCCTGGATTTAACATCTGTTACAAAAAGTCCCTGTAGAGCCAATGGCTGGAAAGCTGCAACAGGGAAACTGCTATTCTGTGCTGCCCCTGGTTGGTGCTGCTGGTCCTTGCAAGGGGCAGTGGCTACAGAGACCAGGGGCTGATTCAAAATCATTTAAAAAAAGAAAGCCTTTAATTTCCCGTGGAAATGGCAGTTTGTCTTAGATGGTTATTTTCCACAGAGCTTATGGATTCCCCAAATCTCCAGTGATAAAACTGGGATTGCCCCCCAGAACTCAGTGCCACAGAAAACACAGGGTTAGATTTTGCCGGGCTTGTTTCAGTAGAGACAGTTTTGGTTAAAGTAAAAGCTGAGGAGTATTTCTCTATTTGTTCCTGGACTTCTGAGTTCATATTCTGCTTTTCATATAAACACAGATCCAAACTAATGTTTGACTGACCTAAACGCTACTTGGCAGTAACATATTATGTGCCACTTGAATCCTCTTTTTTTATTTTATTTTATTTTTATTTTTGTTTTTTATTTTAAGGATTAACGTCCTCCTGTGCAGTAATTCATAATTCAGATTTTTTTCTCATTTCTTGTATCAGGCAGTGAAAACTTATCAGTGACAGAGATGATGCTTGCGAAATGGCTGCACAGGGGTTCCTCTCACTGAAGAGCTGACAAGTTACCAGCTGAGCAGAAAGCTTAATTGCATGGGTGATCAAAGGACAATGTATGAAGACAGGGAGACTGTAAAGGGGTGTGCGTAGGAGTATGTTTTAGCAAGAGATTATAGAGGAACGTGTGAGTCTGGCACACATGAAATGACAGGAGTGAATGCATGAGCTAGTACAAAAAAACACGTTAACCAAAGGCATCCACAGATCAACTTCAGCCCCTTACCAGCTCTTGCCTAAAAGAACTGTATTCTATTAGCTGTCATCCTCCAAACTGTATGAATAGAAAAAAGTGAAGGCTTGTTCTTTGCAAGTGGGAAAGGAGGAGGAGGATGGGGGAACCTCGTGAGACAACAACATCCGGACTGAAATGGAAAATAGAGATCAAAGCAATGAGCTGGAATGGGAAGAAAGGACACAGGACACTGATATGGTGTACTCTGGGAATGTGAGGAATTGACATAAAAAAATAAAGAACTGAAAAAGTATTGGAGGCACATGCCAGCCCTTCCATGTGCTGTAAAACCTTGTGCTGTCAGAGTTTCTGTTCACAATTTGTACTGTGCTTTGTTGTATTGCTTCTTTTATACTCAGCTTCACTTACAGCACTGGGAGTAAGATATCTCTAAATATGAATACAGGAGCCATTAAAATGGCTTATACAACAGACTTGCACCATTTTAGCCGAAATCTGTTAAAAACCTCATTACAGTTAAATTGGGATAAACCTCTGTGCCAGTGATCTTCAGCTGATTTAAGCTGCATCAATATAAATCCAGTTTCAATTGATTTAAGAGAGTCTAGTCAGAAATGCACTGCATTTCATAAACTGATGGAAGGACATACTCTTACTGAAATATTAACACTTATGCACTCAGTCTTTTCATATTTAGCTGTGGGGATTTTTAACTTTTACCGTTTTGCATTTTACAAGCTCTTACAGGGAGTGAAAACAACTAGTTTTAGATCAGTCAGGTCAACAGCCTTTTACTTCATCAATTGAACATTTGTGCAATCACAAAAGCCTTCAGCTCTAGCGTTTATTAAATTCTAAGGACAGAGGAGAAGCATAATAGTTTTTCTACTTCCCTACTCTGAACAAGAGTATTTAGTGTCTGACTAAGCGCCTTTTTTTCTTTTTTTTCTTTTTTTAAATAAAAGGAATCTAACCTGTAGTTGAATACACCCTTTTTGTAAAAATAATGAAAGTCTATCATCTAAGACAATTACTCCCACAATAAACTGTCCTGTCTCTTGGAAACTATACCTCATTACCTCATTCCTAACTTGAGTTTCTCTGGCCTTCACTTCTAACCCTCAATTTTTGTTGCACCTTTTCTGCTCAGCTAAATACCCCTGTAATTCCAAGAAGTCCAATTCAAGGTAATAGGCCTTGCATAGACCTGTACATCTCAAATGTGGGTGACACTCAAGTTTTAAAGTCTTCATTACAAGTAATACCTTACTTCCTACAAGCAGAAGTGGGAGAACCATTTTGCGGTCTAGGAGCAAGAATGCCACACTTAGGATCTCTACACATGCAAATACAGCAGTATTTTAGCATTTCAGATCTCAACTGCATGCACATATATGTCTTGCAGTTTTCAGGTACATTTGGCCCCACTCCTCAAAATCCTGACCAACAGTTCAGTGGATAAAGGCAAATGCCACCAAAATTTGGTGGTCAGCTAGTTTCACTGTTCTTTCTCCCATCTTTCTAACAACCTCCCTCCAGTAAGAGCTGGAAGCATATTACTAGGAAGAGGCAAAAGGGAAGCCTCCAGAAAAACTGCTCTGTTCTCTGTTAGGAAGAAAAGAGGGATTTTTGAGTATGATTGCTCTCATCTCTTCTTATGTACAAGGTCCAAGTCTGCAGTCTTGTATATGCAAAAATTACCTCTCCTCTACTTTTTTTTCCCCACCTCATGGATGTGAAAACCAAGAAAAGTGATACTAGAAGAAAAGGAGTTTGCCCTGACCATGACCACATGGCTAAGTCAGTTGAGAAGCCTGTCAGATTGCCTGCACAATCCCAGAGAAGTCATTTAATCACTCTGTGCATGAGTTCCCCACTACAGTAGGTTTTTAGCTTACAGGGCTTGTCTGTGGCCAGCTTGAAGCAGCCTCATGTTATCAAAGCTTATCAAATACAACACTGTGAGGGCAAATGCAGTTGTGGTCTTGAATTGACACTGTGTAATGTTAAAAGAAGATAGAAATGTATTGCCCCTAATGGGCTGGCAGATAAATCATGCAGTCCTCTCCTTCCAGCCTCTCACATCTGTGATAGCTACAGTAGAACCTTAGCCCAAACAGTGCTCTTATATAACCCTAGAGCTGTCAGGGCAGTCTCATCTTTCTTGCAAGATTTAATGAAAAATAAATTTGACAATTTCTCCAAGCTGAAAAGCTTCTAGCCATGCCTCCAGTCTGCTGCTGCAGTACTTACATGCTTTGTGAAATTTGTGTTTCACATCAAGAAGAGTAGATGATGGAGGTACCTGGAAAAGATAACAAAATGCATGCAGATTAATCTGTCTGTCTTCTTCACTCTGGGATCCCTTCTCCCCACCTCTAATGAAGAAAAGATTCAATTTGTCTGCAAGTTCCTTAGGCAATAATGAAGCAAATCAGCAAATTTGTTCTCACATGTTGATATGTTATTAAAATTTGTCCACCTCTGCTTGTCTAGTGCAAGGGTCAAGAGGGAAAGCTGCTGGCCCTGCTTGAGGCAATAAATGTTCCCAAGATCAAACCAGAAGGAAAACTTGAAGGGTTACCTTTAAAGTTAGATTCGAACATGCTAGTGCATGTCACTTGTAGACATGAAAGGGTTTTCCTGAGGTGCCAAGTAGCAGTAGCAAAGGTGGCAGGTTCTGTACTTTGTGCCTGAAATAAATTTGTTTCTGCATGCTGTTATTCATGTGCACTGAAGCAATTCAGGTGTCACAGTGTTAGATGGTGGTCTGGAGGCCTTTTAGGCTCTATTTTATTATGTATATTGATTTCTTAATACACTTTGTAGAAAGTATCTGAGAACAGAGTTACAATTTACTAGAGCAAAAGACTAAGTACCTTGCATTTACGAAGAAAGGGAATGGAACATTTCAGGAAGTAGCATGCTGAGCTTGAGATCAAGGCAGCAAGAGGTAAGGATCTGGTCTTAACAAGACTATCCTTTGCTGTTGACACTGATTCAATATTCTGTATTTTTCATTTAAGCACAGAGTCTGAGAAGTAAATTGAACTGTGTGTTAACTATGGGGATCTGTTTTGGCAAGAGATCTCATTGCTGCATTCAGACAACAGAATGCAGAAAACCACCTTCCTTGGAGACTTGAGGCACCTGCACAGGCTAATACTGCTATGAAGTGGTGGTGACATATAGCAAAATCTTGAGGAGCAGCAGAATTTCTTTAGATTGAGGCAGAGAAACAGCCATAGTACCATTTTCCCTGGCTGAGCACTCCTGACCTGGTTCATTCTATCTCCAAATTCCCCAAGTTGAACCAGAATGTGTCAGTGGCCTGACATAGCCTCATTTGTAGTTACACAAGAACCCAGCAGTTCTGCTCCGCAGAAGCTTGTCTGTCTCTTCCCACCTAAAGATTTCTATGCTGTTCACTGGGCAATCCAATTCCTGTTTCATTGCATTAGTTAGAACTTGTACACTTAAGCATTAATTGACTTACTGTGCCCTGCTTCGATCTTGGCACCATCTTTAGCCTGTAGCCCCACTTCTTCCAAATGTGATTGGTGATATCTACCTATCTATCTTATTAGTGATATTAGTGAACTGTGACAATAACCATGCAAAAAAAAGATAAAAAATAAGAAATTCTGCTAGTAGTGATCAGCATGTTAGCATACATTGTTTAGCTGATAAGACTGAGTTGGGTGAAATACTGATGTAGGAAAATAAAATTGCTGACTTCAAAGCAACAAATTAATATAGAAAGAAAAGTTTTGCTCTTGTATAATTTGCCACCCCACACAATTATACCGTATACATGCTATTAGTGCTTAGGAGTAAGCCAACTTATTTCTAGTAATAATATGAACAGGCAGAGAGCTCAATACAGATGTCAATGACTTAAAGCTGTAAAATTATACCTGTGCTAAATGGTATGCAAAGTTCAGATTTTTCCTAGTTTTTTCTTTGGGTTTAGAATATTTTCTTTTCCACAGTTACAGAGGGGTTTAGTGGGCATTGGAAAAGTCCTTATTTGCAGAAACTGCTATAGGTGAATCTCAAATTAAATCATGACTTGTATCTCTGATGCAGCTGTTAAGCAATACCAACTCCACCCACATCAAAGGCTGGGGTCCTTGAAGCCAAGCATGTGCCCTTCCTTTCCCACTTCCCCAACATCATCAAGGTCTGTGTTGCACCCAAACCATGTTGAACAGTACTGAGTCAGGAAAGGGACATTGCCCTTGGGGTTCCTAATGCCAGCTGGGTCTCTTTTCGTCCTAGCTACAGGGGACAATAGAAGAAGCTGAGAAAACATTTTATCTGTCTTCATTGTACTTAAGCCATTTCATGCAACATTCAGTAGAACAGCATATCTCCCACAGTCTACATGTGTCTTTTCTTCTGATGTGTACAACTGCTGTGGTTTTGAATACGGGAGATGGGCGGGGGTGTCTGTTTTCAAAACCTCTAAAACAATCTGAAATTGCTTTCTCACACCTTGTAATCTTGCACCCGTGAGGTCTGGAGCTGAGAATCCCTCAGGTATGGATGCAAATGCTGTTAGCTGGCTATGACTGTACAACACACAAGACTGCAGACCAGAATCTGTCATGTGTCCTAGCACAGGGCAGGTGTGCAGCTTTTCAGACCTACAGATTAAGGAAAGGGATGGTCTTTTCCAATGTGATGGAGAACGATCTGGCTTTCTAAATACAGCATAAGCCATGTTACTGCAGGGCCTGCATCCCTAAAAGAGAACAGCCTGCTGCAGCAGAGGAACCAGTCAGTGTATCCATGTGGTGCTATGTGAACCACCACACACCACCTCTCCTACCTCCAAAGGTGGTGTTTGAACCACATAGATGCAGCTAGGGGGGACTGTGCTCTGTACAACACATATGAGACAGGCAGAGATCATTAGCAAGAGCCCTGCTGTGCTTGACTACATCCCAGCTGCTTTAGGCTAGAGCTGGTCTAGATGCTGCTATCTCAAGACCATGCAGAGCATGTACTTGGTTGGTTAGTCGCAGTCTGGCCGCTCTTTGTGGTACCACACTGTATGGGCTGCATGTGCAGGAAGGCTTGGAGCACACATCCAGCCAGGAGGGCAGGAAGACATTTGTTTTATGGACCAATTGGGTTAGAGAAGGACCTTTCCACTTTACACAGATCGCAAGATGAAAAATAACACGAATGCCTTCCTCTTCAGAATGGGTAATGACATAAAGGAATTGCAGTGTCCTTTCCCAGGCAGAATAATGAGTCTATAGCCACAAAAGAATGAAATACATTTTTTTATGATCTTGATAATTCTATGTCCTTTTTTAAAGGCCTCATAAAACAACAGGTGAAGTTATAGTTTCTAATATTGATCAATGTGAAGATGGATGCTGAAACATCAGCTTACTACTAAGAGTGTCCTCTTTGTAAAGCATTAATTATCTTTTGTTCTTTTCATTGTACATCAATACTAGCTAAAGAATTGTATGGACTGGAACAGCATCTGCTCTTACTGCCCTTTGTGCTAACTGAATAAAACCTCCTGGAACGTTTCACTGTGATTATTTGTCTTACTCTCCTTTTATTCATTTGAATTATTTCCGAAAGTGTTATAACCTTCCTTTTCTTCTATTTCAGCACTTTTCAAATACGAAAAGGGAAAACAGAGGGAAAGACCATCCTTAGCTTATTTAAAACAAGATAGATTTCTTTGTAAAAATACCTCTTACTTGACACATATCTTCTATGTCTGATGGCCAAGCCAGTTTTTCCTCCAACTTAACGTGTACTCTAACACCAGATTTTAAATATAGTTAACTTTCTAGTAGGTTGTTGTCAAGTGCAAGGATCAAGACTAACTTTTCTTCACAAAAAAATTTTTATGAAGAAATGCAGATTTTACAGGTGTGGGTTGCATTTGTTACACTTTTCATTCAGAAAAGGATTATTTAAAAACTTCAAATCGTATTTTTCCTGTATCTTCATAGAAAAATACTTTCACGTTTCCATTCAAGGCAACTTTTTATTTTTTAAGATTTCAAGAATGGAAGGACCTTTCTGGGTCATCCATTCTAGTTCCATCCTTCCTTTATGCAGCAGTGCACAAAGCATCACATTTCTTTTTAAGATTTAAAATACCGTATTAATAACTTAGGCTATCACTCAAGGAAGAGCACTAAGTGAATGATATGGCAACTTAATACTGCCTTTTGTGAGTCAAAGCGAATCCCATAGTTATCTGCTTCATGCCTCTTTCATATTTATAAGTCAAGGAATTATAACAAATCTGATGACCTCTGTGTAATTACATCACACAGTTCTTGCACTCAATATTTATTTTAGGGGTTAGAGGTCAGCAGAATATCAATAAAAATCTGAATAATAGAATTTTAGCAAATAAGTGATCTTTCATTCAATATTTCCTTTGAATATTTTTTCTCTTAGTGACATACCAGTACCACTGCACTGCTGAGTCACCTGCTTTCCAACAGAGACTTGTTTCCAGAATTGAAGAAATCCAGAAATACCGCCACTCCAGCTGCTCATTAACCAAATGAAGATTACCCATCTTCAGCCAGGGTAAATTTGTTCAAAAGGGTGACATCAGCTTATTGCAGCTGAGGATTTGACCCCAGTACTCCAGCTAATGGGAAAGACAGGTAATTTCCAAATTCAGCACTCAGCAAATACTTGATCATTGCTGGTTTTGCACCCTGTCCTTGGTTTGGGATCATGCCATATTATTAGAAATCAGCAACATTTCCCAGAAAGTTAATCAGTTCTAATTGATCTCCGTGTTTTGTGAATTTGGCTTCTAGATCAGATTACTTTTTGTTATAATTACTGGATTAAAAATTGGATATTGTTTTACTGTAAACTCCCTCAGTGTGTCCCACGCTGCTCTCTCGTTAGCTTGGTGAACCAGCATGCTGCTCATGTCCAAAGAGATATAAACAGATGAGCTCACCATGGAAATTATATAGAAGTAACTACATGTAGACAAGTGTTGTCAGCTACTACACAAAGGCATTATATAGAATTTAATATTTTACTCATTCAACTGCAGTGAACTGCCAAACAGGTAGCTCTGATCCCAAGCCAGTCTTCACAGATACTGAAGATATTCAAAACTACGGTTTTAGCTCATCGGTTACACTTTATGTGAGTAGAGGGTTGTGCCTTTTAGCTGTCTCCTAGATTAATATGTGGTCACATGAGCCTTGACATATGAGATAATTCAACTGACTAATCTTTCTAGTGATTATGGGTCAAATTATCTAAGAATACACATAACCATATGTTTGC